AAATTGATTCGTAAAAAAGTTTGTTGCTTAGGCATCTTTTATATTTAATTTTGTCATGTTTACTATTTTACTTTTGGCTTTTTGTGAATCACATGTTCTCGAAATTCCTCACTTTATTACTTTAATTCATTTTTAGTGAATCTCATCATTTCCTTAAACAATTAGATTTGAACTTATAAAATAATTAATTCTAAGATGCATATAGTAAATTGACAATATTACTTCTCTTAATAAAATAAATTGTTTTTACTGTCTCTGTCACTTTTAGAGTTTTTGTTTGGCAAAAATAACATATCTAATAAGTTTGTTTATTGTAATTTCATGTTTGGAAAAGTCATAAAAGTAGTTATCATAACTTATAATTACTTTGTGGTAGTTTTTGTTAGCTTATAAGTTATAAACTAAAAGCTACATTTTCAAGTAGCATGCTCAATAAAGTCTTAAACGGTTGTTTAATTTGTATATAGGCAACCAATAAATACGTTGCCAATATACAATGGTTTAATACAAGTTCAGTTCAAATGGGTGGCTTTTTGTATGGTTGGCTACATTTTACAAATGATTAGTTAAAAGATTCAAATAAGAAAATTAATTAAAAAGGTTTTTTTTTTTAACCTCTTAAACTAATATCTAATTTCACTTATGTCCACAACGGTTTTGTTGGGCGGCTAATTGCTCTGTAACCGTTTCTACCCGCTCAATTTGAAGCTGCAGATGTTGAACTCTTTTAGTCATTAACTGGTTAATTAAGAGACCTATAAAAGGGAAAAAATGGTATAAGCAAAAAATTAATTATTCTTATATTAGCCTTAAATATATGGTTGAGACTTTAGAGTTTCAGTTTTATACCCAATTTTTTGCATTAACAATCATAATTTATTAAGATGCACATCCTAGTATGGCCAACTTTTATAAAGAGTTGGTGCTTGGTTCTTTTTTGATCCTCATCGATCATAGTATTTGTGGTCGAATAATTGTTAAAATCTTCTTATCAGCTACATTCCGTACCATTTAGAATTTTATTTAAAGTAGTTGACGATTCTATACTTGGATGAACTTCCAAAGTTATCCAGATTCCATGCCAAAGGAATTTGTTTGACTCCTTGCTATAAATATCAAGGTTCCAGAAATTACAAAGGTCTTGACATACTCTTCTCCTCCTTCTCCCACCCACCCACTCACTCACACACACACAAACACACCAAATGGCTCTCACAAAAGAGGAAGACTTGAAGATTAATGCAAATCTGTATGAAGCACTGATGAGACAAAAGGATGATAAAGTGATCGAGTTATGTAAAAAAATTCCCAAGGGTCCTTTGCATACACTTACCATACACGAAGACACCGTCCTCCATATGGCAACTTATCATAAGAAAACCGACCTTGTACTGAAGCTCCTAGATATGGTGTCAGTCTGTGATACTCACAAACTCACATGGCAGAATAGTGGTGGAAACACCATTCTCCATGAGACTGGCACAAACAATAAGACAGTCAAGGTTGCAGTAGAGGTGCTACGCAGGGCTCCTATGTTGCTTAACATGACCAACAAAGAGGGAGAGACGGCATTATTTTATGCAGCTCGCCATGGCAAGACCAGACCCTTTCGATTCCTTCACGATGAAGTCAGTAGAGCAATTCAAGGACCAGATTTGGCGACATTTCTTCGAAGGGATGATAAGTTTACAATACTCCACATAGCAATTCTGAGTAGAAACTACAGTAAGTGTGTGTGGGTGTGTGGCACAAAGTTGTTCTCGTTGCAGTTATAAATGAAGTAATTTCTTTGTTGATTAAATGCTTAACTTTTTGCAGTGATTGCCCTCGAGATAGCAGAAACTTATAGAGAGTTAATCGGTGAAAAGGATGCAGACGGCATGACAGCTCTTCAACATCTTTCAACCACTAAACCAGAATTTCATCCTAAAAATTTCTTCAAGCGCATGATATTCAAGGGTAAGTAACAGCTATTATTATTATTATTACTAGGCGTAACCTCGCCTTGCGCAAGAATGCATTTAAATGGTTAAAATAATTATGGGAAAAACCTCGCGTTGGGCAAGAATGCATTTAAATGGTTAAAATAATTATGGGAAAAATAGAAATATGTTGAAAATTACGTCTTTAGTCATGTTTTGGGCATTAACCGAATTATCAAATAACATAAAAATCCATCAATTTATATTTTGATACTATCTAATATAGTTCATACATTATAAACTTTACTTTTACTTTTATAATATCCAATATATATTATAAGTTTTTGTATAACATTAATATAATCTACTTTTCTTATGTCCGATAATATTTTTTGGATAAAATAAGAAATAAGTTGTTTTGAATGAGTTATTAATAAACAATATTGAACTAATAAACTTTCTATTACACTATTTATATTACACCGAAACATCCAATGTTTCATATATGAACTTTCAAATATTAAACATTGAAATAAAGAATGAAGTCATACAAAATATATCATTATACATAACTGTCATCAAGAGTTTTAAAATAAGTCGATTAGTAAATATGATATTTAATTTTAATTACATATTTTGCAAGGCGTACGTTTGACTTTATGTTGGTGCCCCAAGAATTCTCTTCCTTAATTTGTACCTAAAAAATTAAGGTGAATAGGAATATAAAATAGATATTACTAAGC